GAGCTACAAGGTATCATATGTCTTTACTTGGTAACCCCCCTGAACTGCCCCTGGAGTACCTGCATGTAGAATGCTTGCCTGTGTGCTTAATATAACCACAGTTGTTCACACTACTCATTCCTGTAATTTTGGAAGCCTGCAAAAATGGTTTCATGCCTTATAGTTACCAGCGTTTTGGCAGTCAATAAATTTTAAGCCAAAGAATATTTCATAAAATGAGGCAAACTTCATTTTAAAACAAACACCAACCTCTTTTGGATCATCCCCTATAAGTTTAAACTTCCTTGGGATCTTGCTTCTGGCAAATTTACATCCATTGTAATACATACTCCAGGAGCAACCAAAGGAAAAAGAAGCACCACAAGATTCAGGGTCCAGCCCTTGACATGCACAAGTCCGTCTAGGAAATAAGAGAACTGTTTATATAGCTATCAACAGCACAAGGGTTGTCTCTTGGTAAAAGTCAGTGCATATGAAAATATTTACAACACATATCAAACTTCTGCCCAAATTTTGTCAAGAGTCATCAAACCAAGACCTACTGTGTCAATAAAGAACTGACACTCAAAGGAAACCTATAAATTTAAAAGCAGATACATTCATCAAAATGTATAATCCTGTATTTCATGAATACAAAATAAGAAATGTAGATTTTCTTACAAAAGTGTAAAATCTTAGCTTTGCTCACAACTTCATATAAAAAACTACCAAAAAAGGTGTTATCTCAAGTATTTTATCAAGTGACAAGTTAGATACTGAAAAGCTATTTGCCAGGAAAAACAGAGCAGCCATATAAACACTTGACAAGTGTTTATATGCAGACTTGATGTTGAAGCCTATTACTGAGAGAGAAATTGTTGGCCAGGACACTGGGATTAGTGTATAAGATACTGGATATTGTGACAACTTTGATTTGGTTGTGGAAACTACCTTAGTATTTTTTCTGAGCATCAGTATTGGGTATGAATCCAAATCCATTACTAGTGCAAAATGCATCAACATTTGGTGTAGAGATGAAAATGCTACCAGAAGTTCTATTTAGTACTTATAAAGTTTATGTTTATGCAGAATAGGAACTGTCCTGAATTCTGTAGTTTCCAGAAATAAAATTAAATTCACTCTCTCTAGCTCCACAAAATGGTTAAAGTAAAATTAATGCTAGAAAAAAATTAAATTGAACAAACCATGCCTAAATATAGTTTTTATCTTTAGAATGTGCAGAAGATAGTTTTTGGAAAATTAGTGGACTTTTTTCCCACTAGGAAAGATTCCAGCTCCAAAGTAAACAGGAACTTGGAGGATGTTTAAATGGGAAATGTAGCTTTTCTGAAAATATGGGCTTCTGTCCCATCCTCCCTCCCCAAATAAGTGGAGCAGTGACTTTCTGTCCACATACTGGGCCATGTCCTGAATAAGCTAGAAGGGCCAAAGTAGAAGGGCAGTTGTTGAGGGAAAAGATTGTTACAAATAGCAGGTTTGGGGGGAAAAAAATATCAGGTCCGTATTATCAGTCCGTTGTGCATAAGAAGCAGCCTCATGGCTGGGTGCTTTATGGTAAGCCAGTGATACTCAACCTTTTTGCTTGGTGGGTAGTGCTGTCCATAAGCCAGGTCCGGCTAGTGGCGGGGCCCAATCCAGTTGTTTAAGGAGTGTGGGGGTCAACTTGGCCCCAATCTAGCGGCATTGAGGGAAGGGGCGTGACTTGGCCCTTATCCAGATCCATGGGAGAGAGGAGAGATGGCTCAGCCCTATAGGACTTGGCAGTGGGGAGGGGTGACAGTACTAACTGCCACTGCTCCTCTGCCTTCAAATTTTCCAACCTGTGGGGAGCCTAGAAGTTGAGGGCCAGAGATTGAGCACCTCTGTGGTAAATTAATGGAAGTGAGTCACTGCTTGACTCTTATGTTGGCTGGGTTGTTGTGGAGTTGTGTAAGCTGTAAATGTACGTGCCATTCTGTTTCTATTTGACAAGTTAATTCATCAGTCTTCCATGGTCCCTATGGTTGTGTGTGGTGTGTATGTGTCTGTGAAAGGGGACAAAGAGTTCTCCTTAATAGACACTTCTTGTTTGCCCATCATCAGTGCATAATTTCTGCTACCTTTTGCTTTTGTGTCTGAATACCCTGGCCTAGGATATACCTTTGTAAGGATGAAGCTTTGTAGAGCAAATACCCTCTATATTTTCCTGGG